AGGGACAGCGTGGGGGCTGCTGATGGCTCCAGACTTGGGCTCCCCTCCCAGCTGGCCACACTGTGCCATGAGTTCCCAGGTTTGGATGACAGACTCATCTACAGCCAAGAACAGTTTTCAGTTTTAGCTCTGAATGAACTTTGTGAACTTGGAACACATTCCAACAGCAGGAACTAAAAGGACCACAGATAAATTATATTGTTTACTCGTCAACATTGACCATCCACCTCTTAATTACTCGGATGCTTTGGGGACTTATTAAATAGCTCAGACTGAAAACGTTACACACAATACACTCAACATGAAAAGTCCTAATAGTAGAAGCCAACATAAACATGAAATTTCTGTATTTTCTACCACAGCTGTTGTTTATCAGCATGAGACCCATAGTTTTTCTAAATGGGAATCATTTACCCAAGGTTTCTGGTCCAAGATCATGGTATCTTTCTCGTGGCATTGTGTGTCTTTAGCATGAGCTTCCTCCCACCTCCAGGACCAAATGGTAATTACTGAGGTATTTTGGTTACTTTAATCCATCTTTTCCAGGCTATCGCAGAGTGCTCTGGGGCTGAGGAGGACAGCACTGCACACTGGTGCTGCTTCTGCTGTTTCTCGAGGTGTGACCCTCTGTCTCCCTTCACCTTCTTTGATGGCTTCTCCATTGGGGAGGGTAATTCTAGCTGTTGTAATAGATAAATCTCAAAATCTCCATGGTTTCACATGATACAAGTTTCTCTCTCATTTACTTAAAATCTCAATGGGTATTCCTGATCGTCACCAGTAGCAAGCTTCAATCCACAGAGTTATTCAGAGACCAGTAATAGAAGATCCATCATCTTCAACAATGCTTCTAAGTTTGCCCTGGGCAGCCACATCCCACAGAGCAAAGACAGGAAGAAAGAAAGCAGAGAAAGCAAGTCCATTCTGTATTAGTTTGCCAGGGCTGCCATAACAAAGTACCACAGGCTGGGCGGCTTAAACAACAGAAATGTATTTCCTCACAGTTCTGCAGGCCAGAAGTCCGAGATCACAGTGTCAGCAAGGTTGGTTTCTTTTGAGGTCTCTCTCCTCAGCTTGTAGATCGCCAACTTCTCCCTGTGTCCTCACATGGTCTTCTCTGTGTCTATGTCCCGAATTCCTCTTCTTATAAGGACACAAGTCATATTGGTTTAAAGCCCACCCTCATGACCTCATTTAACCTTAATTACCTCTTTAAAGACCCTATCACCAAATACAGTCACATTCTGAGGTACTGGGCATTAGGACTCCAACATATAAAATTTGGGGAGACACAGTTTAGCCCATGACACATTCTGAATCACATTAGACTAAGTAGTGGTCTTGGTCAAAGTCACTGGGCAAAGCCAATCTCATGGGCCCACCTAGATGCAAGGGCAGTTGGGAAGTGCGCCCTGTGCCCGGCAGCAGCTTCCCAGCAGCCACTCTGGGTAGACAGCTAGCCAGCTCTGCCATAGCAGGAATGCTTTCCTTTGGGTCTCTGTCTCCTAATTGCCCCAACCATCATATTCAGATTGTCCAGTGCAGGGAATTGAAAGCCCCAGAGGATTCTCATAGAATGCTTACGTAAATCAGCTCACTGTATGCATTTCCTTACTTCTTATGTAGTGTGATAAAGACCAGACACAGGTTTCCAATTTTTTGCATTGCATGCTTAAGGCAGAATAGACTTTTTAAATTTTTAGTTACATGCTGAGACGATAATTACTGTCCTCAATGTCATCATCACAAAAGAGCAAATAGTATAGCTAAAAGAGAGAGAGAGCTAGGAGAGTGGAGACACTGAAAAATACCATCCATTAACCCCACACAATAGCCAGGGTAAGAATGCTCCAAATGCCAGCCATAATCCTAATCCTTATATTCTAACCCCGCGAAAATGTCAGCCCACCCAGAAGTCTGACTTTCCAGATCTCTATGAAACACTAGCTGATGCCAGGATCAGCCCTGATGAACCACTTCTTAAATGCCAGCTGATAGGGCTCAGATGTGCACAAGCTCCTATTTGAGCTAATGGCTAATAAATGGAGAACAAGCCTAACAAATCCATTAGGGCGGGTTTAAATGGCTGAGACCAACATTCAAGCTATCTGTTTATCCTGAGCTTAGTTTGTTAGATACTACTGCCTGTGCTGTGAACTTCACCATCACTTGTTACACGATGGTCTCAGCAAGAGAGGAGTTTCAATCAAAAAAGTCGTCATCCGAGGGCCGGCCCTGTGGCGTAGCGGTTAAGTGCTCGCGCTCCGCTGCCAGCAGCCGGGGTTCGGATTCCGGGCGCGCACAGACGCACCGCTTGTCAGGCCGTGCTGTGGCGGCGTCCCATATAAAGTGGAGGAAGATGAGCACAGATGTTAGCCCAGGGCCAGTCTTCCTCAGGAAAAAGAGGAGGATTGGCATGGATGTTAGCTCAGGGCTGATCTTCCTTAGGAAAAAAAAAAAAAAGTCGTCACTTGTCACCACAGGACCCTCCTTAATTAATTTATAGTAGCTGTTTTATCTTCAAACTTAAGGACCTTGTGCTGTGACTTCTCTCAGGGCAGGATGGTCAGGTACTAAGTGTAATTTTTCTTGTGCCTTAAAAGACTTGTGGTCTGTTTCAGAAGACAGAGACATGTTAAGGAAAAACGAAGGTGCTTTTCTAAAAACCTGATAAATTTGTGTCCGCACCTTTTCCTTGCTTATAAACAGATATAAATAAAATAAATATCTGTATCCATAGAAAGATTGTGTTTGTTTTTATGGAATTAGATTCATTGCAAACACGTTAATTTACAACATGCTTTTTGACTTAATATACCTGTTTGGAGAGATCAAGCTCCTTTATCTAATTTCTTTTTACAGATAGATAGATAGATAGATACATAGATACATAGATACATAGATACATAGATACATAGATGGATGATAGATAGACAGATAGATGATAGATAGATAGATTTTACATAAATGGGATCATATCATGTGTACGAAGTTTGATTGTTGACACAGCCTTCTTGCTCTTTTTTGCTTGCCCCTCCACCTGTCTTTTCTTTGTGGCCCCCACTACAGGAGACAACATGGCACGTGTCGTTCAGTACTTCATCCATGCTTGTGTAACCATCTGTATCTATAAAAGATCATACATAGACACATACAGAGGCTTTCATAGTTTGTTTTATAACATGGAATCTCAGTATTCACACTTCTCCAAGCATTACTTTTTTCACTCAAACACTCCCCATGGAAATCCCTCCAGGTTAATCGGCAGAGGTCTCATTTATTCTTTTTAGTGGCTGCATAAGACTCTATAGTGTGGATGTGTCACAATTTATTGAACCATTCCTCTGCTGTAAAGTAAATGATGGGCATTTACTTTTTCTACATCTTTGCCACAGGGAACAATGCTGCTAAATTGTCTTTAGGAAGTTAATTATTGGAAGTTATACAATATATACAAATGCATATTCATTGTAGCAAACAAGGCAGACATTTCATCTGGCTATTTGAACATTTTCCTCATTTAAGAGCATTAGCGTTTCTACCGAAGGATTCCCTCAGATGCTGCAAATGTCGTGCCCTCTTGGACTATAACGTCCCACCCACCCACCCATGTTGTATCTTGAGCCATCACTGCTTTCCTTGCCTTCTCCTTTGACTGTCTTCAAGTTTGCCAAGCTCTAAACTTCCCAAGTAAAAATAATTTCTACTCCTCTGATCCCAAAGATTTCCATTACTGAATTCTAATAAAATTATTGGGTTCCAAAAGGCATCTGGAACAGTAATTCTGAAGAGAAATTGTGGGACTCTGGGAAAGTTTGTATTTTTCACAAACCAGACCCTTGTGGAAGGGGTAGGGTTCCATCAGAATCTTGGTGGGAGGAGGGGCAAAGACAGCAGGTATAGTTTGAAGGAGCACTTGATTGAGGACAGCCACCCAAGATCAACCAACGAAATTCACAGTTAAAAGTATATTCCTTGGTTCTTCTGTCTCCTGCGCACACCAGGAATGGGGGAATGGCTCCAGGAGAGCCCTTCTTCCCAGGGAGCTCTCTTCCCTTAATGCAGAGTGGTCTCCCTGCCCATTTACAAGGGGTTCCAGCTGGAACTCATGACCAACATGCTGCCAGATCAATTCACAGAGGGGTTTTTCTACCTGATTCTATTTCTGGAATAATTAACCCCTTTTTACCTGGCTCCATACTCTTCTCTTCTCAGTCCATCTTAAATGTTGCTGATGAAATAGTTTCTCTCTAATTCTATTTAAACCAGCAAATTTGTCCCCCCTAAATCTCCATTGGTTCCTATTTGCTGAGTAAAATTCCTTTTAACACCAACCTACCCTCGCTCATCTTCAACATTATGTTTTTTTTCCTGAGTGGAAATGAAAAAAGTGAACATCAAGATGAAAAGGAAAAGCCAAGGAGATAAACAGCAGCCGCAGAAGGTTCATAAAGACAAAGAACCTCATGTGATTGCTGTGCAGGGTGAAGCAGAGAGATCATGGTGTTCTTCTCAAGCACAATGGCCCTAATGTGGGAAGAAACTTTGAAAAGTTTGAAAAATGGTAGAAAAAAAGTATGTAGCATGTGTAACGGAGAGAGTGATAGAACATGACGTCAAAGGATGTAGGGCCCTGTAGTCTTGGGGTAAGAAGTTTGGATTTTTTCTACAAGCTCAGTGAGCAGTCTTTGGACGGTACTGTGTAGAGAATGAATTACAATAGTGAACAAGTGGAAGCAGTTAGATGAGTTAGAATACTACTGCCAGAGAAGAGGGGAAAGATGATGTGGCTCAGGTGAGGGTGGTGGCAGGGATGTGAAGAGAAGTGGATTAATGTTGGACATTTTTTGGAGATAGAAAAACTAGACTTGGTGGATTGGAGCTTGAGAGTGAGGAAAAAAAGGAGGGGACTTGAAAGGAACATGATTGGAAAATTGGTGACAAGGAAATTTGGGTAAGAGGTATGTGAGTAGACCTCTCTGAATGGGCAAAATGTGAAGATATTTGTGTCTCATGTAAATGCTCACCAAAGGATGACCTCAGCAGAGGAAGATTTTAATGATCAAGTGGACAGGATGACCCAGTCTATAGATACCAGTCAGCCTCTTTCGCAGCCACTCCTGTCGTTGTCCAATAGGCTCATGAATAAAGTGGCCATGGTGACAGGGATGGAGGTTATGCATGGTCTCAGCAACATGGACTTGTACTCACCAAGGCTGACCTGGCTGTGGCCATTGCTGAGTGCCCAGTCTGCCACCATCAGAGTGGTGGCACTGAGCCCCTGATACGGCACCATTTCCCAGGGTGATCAGCCAGCTACCTGGGGGCAGGTTGATTACATTGGACTGCTTCCCTCATGGAAGGAAGAACATTTACCAGAATAGACACTTACTCTGGATACAGATTTGCCTTCCTTGCATGCAGTGCTTCTGTCAGAACTACCATCCGTGGACTTACAGAATGCCTTATCCACCATCATGGTATTCCACACAGTATTTCTTCTGACCAAGGAACTCTCTTCACAGTGTAGCAGTGGGCCAATGCTCATGGAATTCACTGGTCTTACCATGTTCTTCACCATCCTGAAGCAGCTGGCTTGATAGAAACATGAAACGGCCTTTTGAAGACTGAGTTATAGAGCTGGCTGGGGTGGCAATACCTTGCAGGGCTGAGGCCAGGTTCTCCAGAAGGCTGTATAGCTCTCAATCAACATCCAACATGTGGTGCTGTTTCTCCCATAGCCAGGATTTACAGGTCCAGGAATTCAGGGTGTAAGTGTGAGCATCACCACTCACTATTACCCCTAGAGACCCACTAGCAAAAGTTTTGCTTCCTGTCCCCATGACCTTATGTTCTGCTGGCCTAGACATCTTAGTTCCAGAGGGAGGAATGCTTCACCAGGAGACACAACAATCATTCCATTGAACTGGAAGTTAAGATGACACCTGGCCACTTTGAACTTATCATGTCTCTGAATCAACAGGCACAGAGGGGAGTTACTATCCTTGCTGGGGTGACTGATCCTGACTGATACAGATTTTGGTGTTTGGTTTCAGCCATTAGGTAAATGATGGTGTCATTTACCAAAGGAGGCAGCACACGTCTGGAGGCAGGGATGGAATTAAGAATTCTCTTTTGGGCCGGCCCCGTGGCTTAGTGGTTAAGTGCGCGCGCTCCGCTGCTGGCAGCCGGGGTTCGGATCCCGGGCGTGCACCGACACACCACTTCTCTGGCCATGCTGAGGCCACGTCCCACATACAGCAACTGGAAGGATGTGCAACTATGACATACAACTATCTACTGGGGCTTTGGGGGGAAAAATAAATAAATAAATAAAATTATAAAAAAAAAAGAATTCTCTTTTTGATATGTTACAACCTGGTAGAAATGTCAAGTGTGGATATGTGTCTGGAGTCCACAGAAAAGATCTAGCTTCTAGATACAACTCTGCAAGTTATTGACAGATAAATGATTTTGAAAACCGTGGAACTGACTGAGATCATCCAAGGAGAGAATGGAGATAGGAAAGAGAAAATGACCCATGACTGAGCCCTAGGATTCCAACATTCTGAGATCAAGCAGAGGAGGAGAAGGTGCCCAGAGAAGATAGTGAGACAGTGGGTAGCTTTGCAGAAAGAAAATGAAAGGAGTGTGGAGCACAGAAGTCAAAAAGGGAAAGAGTTTCAAAAAGAAAAAATCAGCATGTGGATAAGTGCTGCTCAGAGATGGAGTCAGGCGAGGAAAGAGAAGTGACCTGTGACTGGAGGACAAATTGGAGGACATTGCACAGCCTGACAGGTGCAGGTTCAGCAGAATGGTAGAGGCAAAAGACCAACTGGAGAGAGGTGAGGAGTATATTAATTATCTCTTGCTGCGTAACAAGTTATCACAAATTGATCAGCTTAAAACAACACACATTTCTTATCTCAGTTTCCATGGGTCTGGTGTCTGGGCACAGGTTGACTGGGTCCTCTGCCCAGGGTCTCACCAGGCTGCAATCAGGTGTCGGCGGCTGCAATCTCATCCAGAGCTTGGATCCTCTTCCAAGATCAGTGGTTGTTGGCAGAATTCCATCCTTGCAGTTGCAGGTCCTAGAGGCTGCCCACCATTCTCCGCCATATTGCCTTCTTCACAATATGGCAATTTGCTTCCAGGCTGGCAGGAGAAATTTCTGGTTTTGAATCTCTGACACCAGGAAGGGCCCAGTCCTTCTTTTACGGACTCCTCTGATTGGGCCAGACCCACCCTGAATAATCTCACCTTTTGATTAACTCGAAATAAACTAATTAGTGATCCAGTCACAGGAGTGAAATCCCACCATATGCATGGTCCCACCTACACTGGAGGGAGGGGACTATCAGAGTTTGTGCACCAGGAGGCAGAATCGTGCAGGGCCATCTTAAAACTCTGCCCAAGACAAAGATGGGTTGGCAGGTTTGGAAAATGCTGATTAATGCACTAATACCCATGACACAACTGCCATTTGTTGTGTGTCTACTCTGCGCTGAGTAACTAACCAAGCACCTGGTGCCCCTATTGCTGATCCCTAGCACAACCCTAGAGGGCAGGGCCTGTCATTAGTCTCATCTTACAAATAAGGAAACGGAGATTCAGAGAATTTAATGACTTCCAAAGTCATTCTACTATGGGAGCACCAGGGTTCAAATTCAGATTCACCTCCACCAAAGTTCCTTTGTGTAGTGGGCCTTATTTAAGAGAGTTGTTACCAGGGTTAAATGAAGTAACTCTATGACAAGCCCTCTCTAGAGAATACAGTCATTCTCTACAGACAACGTGTAAGATCCTCCAAGTTCAAACCTCAGCCTCGACTTTGCCCCTCCATCCCTGTTTGGCACCCTGTTCCTCCTTCGTGGCCACACCTCTCAGTTCTCCGTCTCCTGCCACATCTCTGGGATTCAGCTTCTCCATTACATCTCCCCTACACAGGCCCCCCTCTTCCACACATGGATTACTGTGACAGCCATAAAAAGGTCTCCCTGGCCTCCAGGTCATTTTAAAACCCAGCTTGGCAAGAGAATCTTCTCTGAATACAATTTGTATCCCCTTTTCGTTCTGCTCAGCCCATTTACTCCGCCTGCCTCAAGGCCCACATCCCCTTCCCAGACCAGTGATGCTGCCTGCTGCCCAGCATTTGCGCCATGTTTTATGCCTCAAACTTGGCAGCCTTTGACCAGCAACTCTTCCAGAACCTGAAAGGAGTAACTGTAGTTGACTAGACAAACTGAGGGGAATTGAGTTACTCTAAGAGCCTGGGGGGGAATCTGTGAATGCCTGCTGAAGCCCCCAGGGCCAGTGTGAATTCAGATCTGGGCCCTCCACTCCTCCCCTGTTACATCTCCACTCTGGGATTGCATTGAGGGTGCCTACTGCTCTGGGTGCCTCCTTACCATAAAGCGCCTTTATTTGAACCACCTCAAGGGGGAGTTTGCTCCTTGTGACCTAAACACCTTTCCAGCCTTCCCAGCATCCAGAAAGAGGACTCATTCTTAAATGTTAGTTCAAAACTAAACCTCTCTTGCCAGGGACTGAGGGGTAGGGGAAAATGGGGAGTTATGTTTAATGGGTACAGAGTTTCAGTTTGGGAAGATAAAAGAGTTCTAGAGGGGGGTGGTGGTCATGGTTGCACAACAATGTAAATCTATTTTATGCCACTGAACTACACACTTAAAAATGATTAACACAGAAAATATTATATTACGTATATTTTACCACAAATTATAAATAAACTCTCATTCTTGCCTTATAGGTCCTCTCTCAGCCAGCCCCTTCCTATCTTGTGCCGACTCTCACCACTTGCCCACAGTCCCCTCCCTGTCCACACTGGCCCTTCCTGTGCCCTGCCTCTCCCTGTGAACTCATGGGCCTCCAGGCCTTTCCTTCTGTTCTTCCATTCACCTCGAAGGCAAACACTGTCTACTCCAACCATAAAATATCCCACATTTCCCTTAAGGCTCAGTCTAAGACATTTAATCCACAAAGCCCTCCTAAACTGTTCCACCCCAAAAAGTGACCTTTCCTTACTTAGAATCGCCTTCACCTTAGTGCAGAGCCTCTCACAGACTCAGTGCACACTCTCATTGCAGACTTGCTCATGACATCTTGGAGTGGCTGGCTTCATGCATGTTGAAGTGCACTGCAGGACACCACAGCAAGAGTGCAAGCCCCCATAGGTCAGGGATTCACTCCTGAACAATCCATCAGTATCTACCTGTCGTGAGTCTGCACATGCCTGGCTCTGGGGAACCCAAGGAAACACTCAGCCCTCAGGGAGCGTCTTTATAAAATTATTATAGTGAAATATATATAACATAAAATTTACCATTTTAACCATTTTAAGAGTACAGTTCTGTGGCATTAAGTAATTCACATTGTTGTACAACCATCACCACCCATCTGCAAAACTTTCTATCTTCCAAATTGAAACTCCCTACCCATTAAACAATAACTCCCCATCCTTTCCTCCCCTAGACCCTGGCAACCACCATTCTATTTGAATTTGACCTACTCTAGGGACCTCATATAGGTAGAATCACATAGTATTTGTCCTTTCGTGACTGGCTTACTTCACTTATCATAATGTCCTCAAGGTTCATCCATGTTGTAGCATGTATCAGAATTTCCTTCCATTTTTTTTTTGTGTGTGTGAGGAAGATCAGCCCTGAGCTAACATCCATGCTAATCCTCCTCTTTTTGCTGAGGAAGACCAGCTCTGAGCTAATATCTATTCCCCATCCTCCTCCTTTTTTTTCCCCAAAGCCCCAGTAGATAGTTGTATGTCATAGTTGCACATCCTTCTAGTTGCTGTATGTGGGACGTGGCCTCAGCATGGCCAGAGAAGTGATGCATTGGTGCACGCCTGGGATCGGAACCCGGGCTGCCATTAGCGGAGCACACGCACTTAACCACTAAGCCATGGGGCCAGCCCTGAATTTCCTTCCTTTTTAAGGCTGAATACTATTTTGTTGTATGTATAGACCACATTTGTTTATCCATCATCCATCAATGGACATTTGGGTTGTTTCCACCTTTTCCTATTGTAAAAATAACACTGCTATGGACATG